GGTGAAAAAAAAAAAGAATTATTTTTCTCAAGTTTCTTATTTTCTGATCTAATAATAGAGATCTCGTTGTGTATAATTTTGTTTTTAACTTTAAATCATCTTGGGACTGTGGCAAAGTCACAAGAATGCAAAAATAGTTCGTTATTTAGATTGCATCACTGAAACAGGAGTTCACCTGTTGCCACTGGAACTTGTGGTAGTGATTCCGAAGATGCTATTGCAATGCCACCCAAGATCTTGACACTCCCCATCAAGGAAAGAAGCCTTTCTCCTCCCTTTGAATCCAGGATAGTGAGCCTGTGGCTGCTTTGATCAATAGCATGTGATGGAAGTGATGTGCTGAGGCTTCTAAGCCCCAGGCATTAAGAAAGCTGGACACACAATTATACTGTGATTGCTTGAGATTAGGGGAAATCAGGATGAAAAGTATTTTCACAGGTCTGAACTTGTTTCTGTTCTTAAAAGTTAATTTTTAAATGTTTTGGGGGGTTTTTGTTAAAAGAAGGTCTGACAACCTCTGCCTTTGAACTCTAACTTGGTGAAGCTCAGCTATCCTGAGGATGCCAAGCTGTGAATATGTTCAAAGAGGTCCCATTGAGAAAAACCCAACTCATTCAGCCCCTAGCTGACTCAGCCATTCCAACTGAGACTCGTCACCTGTTTACTTCCCTAGTATCCCACCCCATAATTGTGAGCAGCCTCAATGAGTTCTGAATTATAACATCCAGCTGAAAAGAGAATGCTGTGGGAGACTGAAAAAAGGCATCAATATTTCAATTACAGCTAAGGTCAGGTAGAGAACCAAACCTGCAGGTATTTTCTGCATGAGGGACAAAGTCTGCCAAGCCTTTCACAAGTGCCACGCAGGCAATTCCTCACGAGTCCCTGTGTGTCATTGAACTGTGCTCCATAGGCTTCTCAGTGGCAGGTCACCATGCCTTTTTTTAAATGCCAACTCTGGGTGGACTCCACCTCCGATCTTCAGTTAGCAGCCAAGTACATTAACCTTCGCCCCACCCAGGAACTCTTCACCAAGCCTAGATAGGCTCAATAAAGTCCCAAATTAGAGAATGTGATTTGTGGAATCAGTGTAAAGTTCACTGTAAAGGATGCTGTTAGGTTCTGTCGAGTTGACTCCAATAACTGAGCAGGAACCAGAGATGGACAGAAAGACCATGAGGGTTAAGGGTGGAAAACATCATTCCAGGCAGGTATTGGGCTGAGTCTATTGGCTGGTTCAAATGCCAGGCTATATTCTTCTCTTTCTCTCTATTATCCCAGAAGACTCCCTTGTACCATTCTACCCCTGCAGGCCACCTCTATCAACATGGCCAGAATAGTATCAGATAGATACTATTCCGATCTCCATCACTATTGTGTCAATTTTTTAAATTTCACACAAATGGAGTCAGACAGTATGTAGTCTTTTGTGTTTACCTTCTTTCCACATGACAGGGCTACTATGTTCTACTGTAGAAATCTCAGTAGCTGAGATTTATTTTAGGAAATGCCCCTCCAATGCCACAGATCTGAATTCCAACTTCTCTAATTACACTGGTTACTTTTCCTGAGCTATTCTGAGCTCAAGAAGAGTATTACAAGAAAAGGGAATCTTGAATTGCCAGTTTTTCTTCAAGACCAATTAAATTGTTTAAAGGTATTCAAATATTCTATTAATCCTAACGGAGACACTGATTAGGCTCTCTTTGATACTGAGTGCAAAATTTCCCTGAAACATATTTTTTCAGTGTCATCTACTAATTTTCAAAGAATCTTCAAATCCTAAAATAAAATAAGGCACCAATTATATTAATTTTTTTATTAACAAGTTAAGCAAACTATCAAATAATCTCTGAGGTAGTTTATGACCCAGAAGTCAGAGGAATAAATATAGCTCAGCTCAGTCATGGGGGGAGAGAAGGGAGAAAACAGTACAGTAATAAATTATAGGTATAGATTCTTGGACCAAAGTGTCAGAATTATAAATCTGGGCTCTACCATATTTTAGCTGAGTGGTCTTGAGCAAGCCATCATTTTACTCTAAGCCTTTACTGCCTCACTGTAAGATGAGAATAACCTCATGTGGGTGTTGTAAGGATTAAATGGTAATATATGTAAAGTCCTTTAGGAACCCAGTGGGCATAAAATAAGCACTTCGGAAGAGTTAGTTATGTTACAAAGGTGAGTGCACTGTCGGAGCAACACTCTGCAAACCACAGGGTAAAAACATCACCAAGACATCTAGCCCAGTGCTGCTCAAGCTGGCGACTTCCAGGTCTTCACAGACCAATACTCATAAAATGCAGGACTATTTGCTTAAATGCTGCAGCAATGTCAAATCATTCTCGAAGTTCTAAATGCTTGCTTTCACTTTCCGGACTTCATGAGAGTACGATAATGGTGCACAGACTGGCATTTGTCTGCAGGCTGAACTTTGAGTAGCACTGTTCTAGAACACAGGAGAGATTCAGAAGTTTAACTCGACTAGCAGGTTAAACAGAATTATGAAGACATGTGTGTATTAGTAAAGAAAGCTGCCCCCCACCCCCACCCCCACCCCCCAGCTGGGGCAGGAAGATGACTTGAGGGTCAACAAACTCAAGAGAGAAAATAGCCCCAACAGGCTAAGCCTGAAAAACAAAACTGACTGCCAGGGCAAAACCCCAGCTGGTACTTTGCTGTATCAGGGCTCTAGGGCCCTCACAAAACATGTTGGCCAGGAAGTCACGTCCCTCAGAGGGGGCAGAAGCATGAAGGAAGAAAGCAGAACTGACTCAGATCTGAAGGAGCCACTCTAAGCCAAAAGCAAGCTTTGGATACAACCACCACCACATACAAAGGTCAGAGTTTGCTCTCTGCCAAAGGAAGCATGTCAATGTTTCCTTTGGTGATACTCAAGCTGTGTACATGGGTACACACACACACACACACACACACACACACACACACGCGCGCGTGCGTGCAGAGTACCTGTGGTTTTAGGAGGCTCCTGAGGTCCACCCTGCCATCCATACTGTGGGTATCCTTGGTAGGGGTATCCTTGAGGAGGTGGGTAAGGTCCCCCCATAGGTCCTGGAGGGTAGACCTCAGGCCCCATGGGTTGCTGTGGATATGGTGGATATGGGGCCGATGGACCAGGGCCCGGATATGGTGGAGGGTTCCCTTGGTTCATTGGGGCCTGCAAGTTGTACCTAAGAGACAAACAGACAAAAAATATTTGCATTTAACATTTAGTATTACATTCATTGGGGGGGGGGGATTTCCAACCCATGAAATCATTTACAAAATAAAAGATGTCTCAAACCTCTTGCAAATCTCTAGCTCTGACCATTTTCTGTTTCTACCTCACATCACAGTTGGAAACCCAAAGATACAAATCCACTCTGTCCTACAGGTCACTCTGAGTCAGAACAAACTCAATGGCAAGGAGTTTGGTTTGGGAAAGCAGTAGGCCACTGCTGACCAGGTACGTCTGGCCCCTGCAGCAAGTCTTTCAGAAGTGTTTCTCGAGGAGTGACTCTTATTTGGTGATTCCAAGTCTTGGAAAATTGTTCTCTCTTCAAAGAGTGTTTTTGCCTTTCTTCTCTTCAGGGGTTCCAAGTAAATGTACCCGAGGGAGGCTTTAAAAGTTTGTGGAAACTGCTTGATGTGATTGAACCATAGAACGACATGATGTCTCTATTAGCTCTCAATAAAATGGTTTTGGAGGAAAAAGCTTTGTGGAAAAAATAGAATGAAAAGAGTGTGAATTTTTCCACAAAATTTTGAAGCCTCCTTGTATTAAATCTTGTCACTATGCCCTTTGGGCTTGTTACTCTCACCTGTTCGCTCTATGACAGTGGTCCTCAACCTGTGGGTTGAGACCCCTTTGGGGGTCGAACAACCCTTTTACAGGGGTCGCCTGATTCATAACAGCAGCAAAATTACAGTTATGAAGTAGCAAAGATAATTTTATAGTTGGTGGGGGAGGGTCACAACATGAGGAACTGTATTAAAGGGCAGCATTAAGAAGGTTGAGAACCACTGCTCTATGATTTGTTACTTTAGTTTCATTCTATGTTGTTAGGAGGCCCGCACATACAGTCGCTGGTTATGCTGTTGAACAATGCTACTTCCAATGACAGTCTCAGACATGACTAGCTTGCTGTTCGGTGCCCCTGAGTTGGCTCTGACTCACAGTGACTTCTGTACAACAGAATGAAACACTATCCAATCCTACACCATCCTTGCCTTATTCTTATGTCCGGGCCCGTTCTTGCAGCCACTTTGTCAATACATCTTGTGTAGGGTCTTCCTCTTTTTCTGCTCTTCTACTTTACCAAGCATGATATACTTCTCCAGGGACTGCTTTCTCTTGATAACCTGTCCAAAGTACCTAAGACCAGGGCCTGCCATTCTTGTTTCCAAGGGCCATTCTGGCTGTACTTCTCAGATTTGCTTGTTCTTTCATCAGTCCACGGTATTTTCAGTATTTTTAGCAATCACTATAAATCAAATGCATCAATTCTTCTTTGATAGTCCATATTTAATACCCAACTTTCACATCCATATGAGGTGATTGAAAATGCCATGACTTGGGTCAAGTGCAGCTTAGTTCATGAAGTAATATCCTTGCTTTCCAACACTTTCCAGGGGTCTTGTGCAGTAGGTTTACCCAATGTAATTCATCATTTGATCTCTTGACTGCTGCTTCCATCAGCATTGATTATGGATCCAAGTATGATGAAATCCTTAACAACTTTTCTCCATTTATCATGATGTTACTAATCGGGCTAGTTGGGGATCTTGGTTTTCTTTACATTGAGTTGTCATCCATGCTGAAGGCTGTAATTCTTGATCTTCATCAGCAAGTGCTTCAAGTCCTCCTCACTTTCAGCAAGCAAGGTTATATCATTTGCATATGACACATTGTTAATAAGCCTTCCTCCAATCCTGATGTCACATTCTTCTTCATATAATCCACTTTCTCTGATTATTTGTGCAGCATACAGATTAAATGAGTATGGTGTGAGGATACAACCCTGTTACACACCTTTTTTGATTGTAAACCATGCAGTATTTCCTTGTTCTGTTCCCACAATTGCCTTGTGATACAGTTATAGGTTCTGCATGAGCACAATGAAGTGTTCTGGAATTCCCATTCTTCTCAAGGCTATCCATAGTTTGTTATGATCCACACAGTCGAATGTCTTAGTATAGTCAATGAAATATCTCAAGCCCAGTAAACATAGTCAAGTAAACATCTTTCTGGTATTCTCTGTTTTCAGCAAAGATCCATCTGATACCAGCAATAATATCCCTTGTTCTATGTCCTCTTCTGAATCCAGCATGAATTTGGCAGTTTGTCAATGTATTGCTGCAATTGTTGTTGGGTGATCTTAAGCAAAATTTTACTTTCATGTGATATTAATGATAATGTTCAAGTATTCTACTGGGGTACCTTTCTTTGGAATAGGTACATATAAGGATCTCTTCCAGTCAATTGGCCAAGTAGTTGTCTTCCAAATTTCCTGACATAGACGAGTGAGTGCTTCCAGTGCTTCATCAACTTGTTGAAACACTTCAATGGGTATTCCTTCAAGTCCTGGATCCTTGTTTTTGGCTAATGCTTACAGTGCAGCTTGAACTTCTTTATTCATTACCATTGGTTCTTGCTCATATACTACCTCTTGAAATGATTGAGTGTCAACTAGTTCTTTTTGGCATGGTGGCTCTGTGTCTTCTGTCCATCTTTCTTTTAATGCCTCTTGTATCATTCAATATTTTGCTGATAGAATCTTTCAATGTTGCAACTTGAGACTTGAAGTCTGTCTTGAGTTCTTTCAATTTAAGGTTTGTTGAGGGGTCCTCTCTAGCTGCCCTTGGAAATTTTCTGTTCCACTCTTTGACTTCATCCTTTCATCTATTTGCCTTTGCAATGGAAAATCAAGAGCAATTTTCAGAGTCTCTTGTGACATCTACTTTGATTTTTTCTTTCTTTCCTGTAATGACCTTTTTGTTTTCTTCATGAATGATGTTCTTGATGTCATCACACAGTTCATCAGGCTTGTCATTAGTGTTCAATACAGCAAATCTGTTCTTGAAATTCAGGTGGGAGAAACTCAAGGTTGGGTTTTGGATCCGATAGACTTATTTTAATTTTCTTCCGCTTCAACCTGAACTTACACGTGGGTAACTGATAGCATGGTCCACACAATCAGC